AGAAGAGTCGGAGCAGTGAGTGTCGGCGTGGAGGCTGAGGAGGAGGAGACGGTGGCTGCAGAAGACACCAAACAGCTATGCTGCTGCTGATGATGATGATGCTGATGCAGATGTTGATGCTGCTGCTGCTGCTGCTGCTGCTGCTGGGGATGTACCTGTCCTCCCAGAGAAAACCTCCTCATGGAGCTGCCGCCGCCGGCCGAGCTGGAACTCGTTGTCGCGGTGCTGGACTGCCGTGACGGAGCCCGGAGGCTGGGAGGAGCCGTGGTGAGGATCATGGGAATAGTCTCTCCCTGGCAGCTGCGCAGAGAGAATCTGATAGGCTGCTGCGTTGGCTGTTTGGGTCTCAGGCAGGTGCAGCAGTAAACTGCCACCAGTGAACCCACCACCACGAAGGCCACAAATATGCTTCCCACCATCAGGAAGGGCACGTAGATGGGTTCTGAGGAGGATGGACAAGTGAAAACGTGAGTAAACAGGAAGTTGGAGTTGATTTATTACGGTCTTCTACGGCAGTGTTTCCTAAACTTTTTTTCTGGGGACCCATATTTTAAAAGTCACAAACATTCGCGACCCAAATCAATCGACATTATTGTTGAACTCCTGGGAAACATGATGTGAGATGACCCAAAAAAAAAACAACTATTGTGACCCACCTGAGGGTCACAACCCAGTCTTTGGAAAACAATGTTCTACAGGATGTGGTAGTCCTTCCCCTGCAATGCAATTGCTTTGGGTTTGTTTCCCACTGCTATAACTCATGACCCCAATCAGCATCAGTCTGCATCAGTAGTTAGCACCTTAGTTTAGCACCTAGCAGTCTATAAAACACTTGCAAATACTGCTGTGGTGACCCCATATTGGTTGTCGGGGGGAAAATTGTAGGTCCTTAAAAAAAATCCCTAAAACTAAAAAGTTAAGCTACAAGTGCAAGAAAAAAGTCAAAAAGATAACCAAAAGCTAAAGCAGGGGTAAAGCTAAAGGTTAGCTAAAGATACAGCTGAAAAACATTTGAAAAAGAAAAGAACATTTCAGAAATATATATGTATGTTTGCTAAATGTCTATCCAGTGTGACTTAGTGTCCAGTTTCAGACTTCTGATTTTATCTCCTGGACTCCCTTCAGATCCGTATCAGCAGCTCATCCAGCAGCTTTGAAATCGCTCAATAATTGTTCACTTAACCCCAAACCTTGACCAGTTTTCTTTCAAATTCCCAAGCAGTTCAGCTCATATTAGCTCCGTGTTCACATCATTTCCTATTTCCCCCCCTAAATAAATAAACAGCACTTTCCCCCAGAGTGTAGAACACCTTCAAGACGCAGTAACTGGATATGTTTACGTTTTGGGCAGGAATGTGCGGCTCTTTTACCTTGGCGCACTTGAGAAATTGCTAAATTAAGTGCTCGACATCATTAGGTTAACTACTAGAAACCGAATTTATATTCATATACTGTATATGTATACATATATACATATGTATATATTGTTATATATATGTATAATTTGTATTATCAGTATACACTGAGTACAGTCAAGAGTACAGTTAGGTTAACTTTTTGACTGTTTTGACTATGGACCTGTCGTTTAGAGTAAGGGAGAGGCGTCATCACAAAGAGCACTGTCCCCACAGTAAGACCCAGAGATGGGAGTGTAATGATGTGGAGCTGTATCTGTACATACCGCACAGAGTAAGTGGGAACAAGAAAGGAGCTTGCCAGAAAGAAAAATGTGAGAAGATTCTGAGAAGAAAATCTCAAGCAGCTCCCATCAGAACAGTGGTCGTCAATTCCTCCGATTCTAATATCAATAAAAACAAACCTCAGAACTCGGGGAAAACTGTCTCCATGGAGACCGTCAACGTTCATTACTTCCCCGCACAAAACTCCTGTCTAAGACAATCTATTCTATCTTGAATCTATAAAATACCCGGGTTTATGTCAGAAAACCGCCAAACCACAGAAGATCTCGTTATATACTGTATATATATTTGTTTTAGTTTAAAGAAGCTCCATTGAAACACTTACTCTGTGTAAAGTATAAACTTATTTAGGATAATACAGCATAAGAAATGTACAGTTTGTGATGTTTTAAAATAAATGTTTTGGTTTTTTTTTAAACGTATAAACTTACGGGCAGCAAACTCTGTGTTCTCCACCTCCCGGTCGTTGGTGCAGCTTCCCTGATCCAGACGCGCGTCCACGGCCGCGCAGCAGTAACGCAGGGCGCAGGAGCCGCAGCACACTGTGGCGTCCGCGGTGTCAAAGTCCTCCGGACACTGGAAACCATCGTGGTAATTCCCATTGATGTCCAGCCAACCGTGGCAGTATTCCCCCTGTGCGTCCGATATGCGCAGATTCCAGGTCAGATATCCGAGCATCAGGCAGCTCAGCAGGCGCTCCATCATCCCAGGAGCCGCCGGGCTTCTGCGGGCTCCAGCAGCCGACGTGAGTTTGACTGTGTGAGTGAGTGAGTGTGTGTGGTCAGTCCGAGTTACGGACTCTTCATGGACATGTAGATGGTAAAATAAGTTCTGAATGTCTGGCTCCAAAGGCGCAAAGTTAAGTCACATTCATCTTCTCTGCTTCCCAAACCGCCTTTATGCACAAAAACAAACCATTGCCAAAGTTTGCATGAGAAAATCCTACAGTTAAAGGCAGAAGAAAAGTGCGCCCAGAACTTTCTTCAGATCCTGACCCATTAGAAGCAGAACCATAGTGTCCGAGTTTCTCCGGAGAACTGGAAAACCCACAGTGTCGGTGCAGAAGTTGCTGAAGTCGCAGTGCCCCCTCTCCACAACCGACCCGAGTTTTGTAATGCTGAATTTTACGCGCGTGTTCACGCTGCCCCATAGAAGATGACGTGCGCGTTCACAGTGGGCGGTTGTGCGTAAAGTCATTATTTGCTTTTAGGCCATAAAGGAAACGCGTTTTCTCCTCTTTTTTCTATTCCTACAGACCGAGTGAAGCAAAGTTAGACAACCGGAAACATCATTTACTAACGTAAACACGTATTTAATTAATTAATAAACAGTACGTTACAGTGTATATATGAGGTAGGTTCGAACCTGAGGAGTTCCGTTTCAGTTGTTGTTCCAGTACCTTTCTGGACAAAACAATGAACGGCTCCCGGAGTAATATTTGTTTGGCTTTTTTACATGTCGTTTTTTGTGTCAAAAATTGGATAAATATGTATTTTTTAAATGTATTTACAGGTATTTATAGATGTGAACAAAGGCCGACTTCTTGGCATTTTTTAACAATGGACTACGTCTTGTTAAAACGTTTTTTGTCACGTGACATTATGTTCTATTCCGTACCATGCATGTCATTTATAATTGTGTATTTTTGTCTTTTAGGAAGGTTGGTGGTCCACTGACACGGTTTATGGAGTAACCGCCAAAACCTTTTCCCTATTTCCTGGGCTAATGGGTACACATTTCATTTAATTTCATCGTCTGTAGCAATATGTACATGATTATGATTATATATCGGAATGCAGTGGTTCTCAAACTGTGGTACTTGTACAACTAGTGGCACTTTAGCTCCCTCTATTGGTACGAGTGGGATGGAAATCCTATGGCTTTAGTTAAATACAGCTGTCACATACACCCCCTCTCTCTCTCTCTCTCTCTCCTCCTCCCCTCTCTGTGTTTGTGTGTGTGTTAGTGTACAGAGTTTGGCCTTGGTTGAATTCTAGTCTGATGAACCTGTTAGAATTAAACTAGGAACAACGTAGGCTTGTTCTGTTGTTTTTTAATGTTTGTCAAACTCAAAGAAAAAAATATTTTCAGAGGTGGTAAAGAAAAGTCCAATAGTTTCTAACACCACTCAAAATATTTCCAATATGACCCCAAAGTTTAATAAAATGCCACCTATAAAGTGTAACATTTGAATGACCTTTCTGTCCTCTCTTTCTAAGAACCCAGATGTGAGTTCACCATAAACAAACCAAAGTCAAGCTCTGTGTTTTGTGGCAAATAGTTCACAAAGAGCCTCATTAAACAGATCCCACCGCAGAATAAATTCCATAGCCACTAAGTGACATTTCATTTCTTCACGCTCCTTCGTTTTCAGCTTTATATACCTTTTCATTTCCAACCTTTATGCACCTCTTCAGCCTTTCATCGTTGGCCCCCGGCCATGTTGGTGCTGGCATCAGAGTGTTTCTGCTCTCTTTGAACTGATGAAAGGGAGAATAAACAGAAAAACCACAAACATGTCGGTGAAACGAGGTTCCGCTCGCTCTACTTATAAACATGTACGTTTGACGCCCCCTAGTGGTGTCATAGGTTTCTACTAGTGGTGAACAAGCGATAACATTTTTTTGAACTGACGTTTTAACGGTTGTTCTTTTGATTTTGTAACGTTGGATATTTACGTTAAACTGTACTTCCGTAATCTTACTGTTATTGCAAGGGTTTATCCGTGTGGGAGTTAAAATCGATACCTTTAAATTTTTAATACATTTTATTTTAATGTAATTAAATTAATCTTGATGATAATGTCCCTCTTATTCCACACAGTCCTGGTTGCCGGAAAGGATGCCAAGGAGCCATTTCTAATACACACTAGGGTGTGCTCTACCCGTTGATTTCTTCACCGGGGTTGAGACGATCACTGTGATAGTGGCAGCTGTGTTCACTGCATACACCTAATGTGTATATCCCCTTTGTAGCCAGACTTCAGCACTAGTGTGTGTCCGTAGTTCAGCTTCTTGGGCTCTTGGACCTTGTAG